AAATCAAGATTAAGGCACTGTCTAGCTCTTCAGAGATATGTTCTCTATTTAGAATATACTTTTCTCTCTCTGATTTTGGTGGTATATTATTTCCCCATGTAATTTATTTTTTAAAAGCCTAAGACCCTAGTACTATAACAATAAAACTCTTAAGAGCCCACGAAAGGTTTTCTTTGGATTACATGTACTTTAATTCCAGAGTAACCCAAGTTTGATTTACAGTTGTTTTTATAAATGCCATATATTATATATTACATTAGGGACAAAGTCGCCTGCGTGGCGCAGTGGGTAGAGAGTCTGCTCTAGAGTTGCGAAGTAAGGAGTTGATCCTTACGTCGCGGGTTCGAATCCCACTGTGGGACGTGGAGACCGGTCCTTCGGATGAGACCGTATAAACCGAGGCCCCGTGTCGCAGTAGGTGCTGGCACGAAAAAGATCCCTCACTGCTCAATGGCCGTAAGTGCCGAGTATGGGACAAAATTTGCAGCTCTCCACCGGCGAGTGGTGGCGTCTCCATATGAGTGAAAAATTCTTGAGAGGGACGTTAAACAACATACAATCAAACAAAAAAACATTAGGGACAACCACAGTTTTATTATATAATTACACGTCGCAGCAATATGACTTTATTGCAATATCGGAAGATAAATCAGGTAACACTACTCCCCCCTCACCCCCATCCCGCTAGATGTTCAAACCTGAGACAAATTTACCAAGCACCAGTTATCTTCACCTAAAAAGAATATTTGCAATAATAAAATGTTAAACAAATTACAGCAGAAAATATGTTTATTTAAATTGACAGTTTTGTGTATAAGCTATATAATTGTACGAAATAAAAAACTACTTTTTTAAATCATAAAATATAAAGTTTTATATAATTAACGAGGATGGATCCTGATTTTTGAAGTCTTAAACTCTTTTTGTCAAGTATATTTTTAGTTTCTACACACATAGCTTTATTAAAATCAAAACAAAAATGGGGATCAATATGCTTCTTTTCGCGCTACACTACATTTAATATGGCCTTTTTGCACTGGAATTTGTGTCTTAATCAAAAATCACATCTCCGACGTTTTCCCTCCAATGTTTTTATCCAAATAAATCATGGGACAAAATAAACTCTTAATCTATTTAAAAAAGACACATTAAAATTGTGACTAAGAAAAAGTTTCAAATTGCTTGGCATAATAAATTATTTGACCTTTCTGCACTCACTAAATATGATTTTTTTTTTCTGGCATTAAAAATTTAACAAGCAATAAAATAATTTTAAAGTCTTAAACTTTTGCTGAATTTAAGCAGATTGATCAAAGTTATCTTATATATTCAGAAAAGAAAAAAGCAAAAGTGGGGGTCTAATGATGTAAATTTTTATATATTACTAAAAAAATGTTAATTTCATGTTAAAACTGGTTCAGTTTTTTCCTGGACTTTCAGAATATATTTACTATATTTGTCATAACATAATGAAAGAATTCATAAGAGATAATTTAATAGATATTTCAGAACCATCATAAAACATTTCACTGCAAAAAAAAAAAAAAAAAAAAAAAAAAAAAAAAAAACTCTCTGTGTGCAACCAGCATGGAAAAATAGGAATCTAAACTTAACAGTAATGTACAAATTTCAAAAGGGAAAAATTGATAATTTTCTTCTGAAAAACCTTCTACCACAAAATATAGTTACTGGCTTAATCGTATTTGGATGGAATTTAATCGCATTTTTTTTTTCATTGGATATATTTGCATTGTAGAATCCAGATTTAATGTTAGAACTTAAAAATGATGCAGGATTTTAGAAATAAATTTCCAGACCAAAATCTGCTTAAAAGCTCAGGATCGAACCTCCTTAAAAGCAGATGATACAAACGTTTTCAAACAACTAAACCATGTTATAGGTAAAATGAATAATTCTAACGGCATAGATTTTAATTTTTTATTCACGGTTTCACGTATTAAAAAATTGAATAGATTTATAAGGGTGAGCACAAAAAGAATTTTAAACATCAAAGAAAGTTTTCAATTTCTTAACATTTTCCGAAATTAATATTTAAATCATTTACAATTAAAATATGTTCAAAAATATATATCAATAAAGGCATCCATATTTTTTTACGTATCATCTATATCCTTAAAACTCATGTATTTAATCACTTCATAAAACTCCGTTGTATTATGTTCGACTTTATTATTTTGCATTAATCTATATATTTAAACGTGCATTACCCTTAATATACGCAAGTTTTTCAGCTGATAAATAATGTTTTTATTCAACATTTCATGAAAACATTTCCTACGCTAAAATAAAAACTAAGATAAATTAAAATAAAAGTCGCAAATTGTCGTATTTCGTACTTTGTCATTAGCCATTTACAACGTACTTTAAAGTTGATACTAAGAAGATTCTTCAGTTTCTATTGGACAATATTTATGTAGTCTTTGGAATGCGGGTCTTTTAACAGTCTATGGAATTCCCATGAGTTGTAATTGTGCCACATCATAAGTAAAGAGAAGTACAAAAATGTGTTTAAAACATTCATTTTCATTGGCATTGTTCTTGTATTCTTATAAAGCAGTATTTATTCAAAAACGTCTACATGATAAGAGGAAATCTCTTGTTGTGGCCTTCAAATCGACTTTATAACAAAACTCATTGTCATTAATACGTCGATTCGATATATCCAATTGAACTCAAAATAAAAGACACTGAGTCTGATACATCTGTTTCATATTTGAATGTCTTAGTAGAGAAAGACGTTGTTGGTAAACTATTGATTAAATTTAAAGATAAACGTGATGACTTCAGTCTTTCTATTGTCAACTTTCATTACTTCTGTAGCAATATACATACATATATATGAGATTTATGTCTCCCAGTTGATGCAATACACAGAGCATATTCTATGTATGAACAATTTCAAAACAAAGCAGGCTACTGGCAAATAAGTTGATGATACAATGGTACATGTATCAACATCTTATTTACAATTTTGCAAATTCTATAGTCGATACAATGGTCCTGCTAGTAAATACAATCTGTCATTAGGTCGAATGTTTACTTTTGTCTCTCATATCGTTAGGCTTAATTTTCAAACTGAATTGTCCACGTGTTTACTCATTCATGACAAGAGGCACACAACGGAGGTGAAAGGCTGACAGGGGAAGTTTACTCCTCTATAGCAACTGGTCCCACCACCGATATATGCAGAGGTCATCATTTGCTCTGCTCAAAACTTGTATTGTCTGGTTGGTCTTTGAGCATGATTTATGTTTGATATCTTCAGAACCATGCGTTGATTTTCTTATTTGTCTGATTTGAATGCTTACTTAGTGCATTTTACCTTTTTAATCTTGTGCAAGCGTTGTCAAATCTCTTAGAAAAACAAATCATGCTGACCTGTAAAGAATTCGTTTGCCATTGAAGATAAAAGTATACCGGTACTGGCACAAACAATAAGGAAATAGGCGCGGCAAGGATATCCAAATTCTATTTCAAATTGATTTGATGCTTTCGTTTTGGTCATTTATCAACGCGTTGACATTTCATGGTTTGCTTTTTAGATTGCCTGAAGCAAGACCAAAAATATTTCAAACAGCGTAGACCAATATTTTTTTTTCTATCGAATGGAAACTCACAAACATGTTGAGAGACAAAGGAAAGAAATTATAAGGTCACTGGATATTTCTAAACACATTAAAAAGCTAATTAAACAACGAACCACACAAAAACTGATTTTGAATTGTACCTACGCCAGTGTTTAAAAATACGCGACTGTTTAATGCTGAAAGACACGGCGAAGAGTAACTAAATTTGAAATAATAATGAGAAAACAAACGTTTAAGTTTTGATGAAAATTACTTTCAACCAATGCTTGTGAAATTCAGCTGAATTTGTTTTTTAATGAACCAGAAATATACATGGCTACGTGTAATTCATAAAACGCATTCTACTGTGAGGGATCGAGCATCATTACACTTCTAGAAAATATTTTTTGCGAAGTATTTTGTGAGGCATGGGTAATTACATGTAATCATGCATTATTCAAAGGACATTTTGTTTTTGTTTTGTTTATTATTTTTACCCCATCAAACTAATGATAGAGGCTGAAAATAATTATAAATATCTTTTATATATAGATATTTCAAAATATTTCTTTTTTTCCTCCTCTTTCTATTCACTTCAGCAAATCTTGTTCGTTTAGCTTTTTCTCCTGCTTTAAAATACCAAACGTAAAAAAGCATGGTTATGAAGAATTTCTTTAAAAAATAAATTACACAAGGAATAAAATGCGTCATATATCTAGGAACATACTTATTTGGTGGACTAAAAGTGTATCATACTATCACTTATTCACTCTTAAAATGCATTACTTTTGGTTTGCATCCGCATCCGTCACTACATCTGCTTTATTTATATAAAGAGAAATAAAAAAAAATGTGTCTTAAACATTTATTTTCATTGGGATTGTTGGTCGCGGCATGTTATAAAGCGGCATATACAGGGTCGCCAATTTTACATCATTAGTATTGAATGTAAGAGGATTTAAGCTTCGAAATCTCCACAAAAGGTTCTAGAATAAAGTTTCATAGTAAGTTAAAGTATCAAAGTATCTACTACAGTTAACTATATTACAATATAGCTAACTATAATATAGTAAAATTTGTTAGGGCAATATAAAGAAGCGGAAACAACATACAACATCAAGCATATATTTTTAATAAACACAATATAGATGTCCCGAGTTTATCGCGAACGGTAATTAACAACTATCTATTGACCTAGAGTATATGTTTTAAATATTACACAACCACCACACCCTTTTTTGAGAACATGAACAGCAGAACCTCTTTTATTATTTTTTATACTCATTTTGAAATTATTGTATTCGTGAGTCACATTAAATATGTAATGATTATTCAATCTTTTTTTTTTTTTTTTTTTTTTTTTTTTTTTTTTTTTTTAACAATTTTTGAAAAATAGATTACAAACACAGGAAGTTCATTTATTGACATTTTTATTCACATGAATATTTATTGACAAGTGTATGTACATATATGGTCCATAAAACCTATTCAGTTTAAGTATTAATTTTCTTTTATCTCAAAAATTTTATATGGATTTCAAGGTTACAAAAACCATTCACAACATGGCATGGTTTGTGAGGTGTAGGAATATTATAGTATGGTTAATATTCTATTAAAAAGTTTCCAAATTTAAAATTTTTATTCGACTTTCTAGTAGATAATGTAGGCATTCAAATATGGCAAATGTTTAACCGTTTGAAATACCGGAACTTGTAAGAGTGTGAGGATTCAGGCTGGTTTCTAGAAAACCTATGATAGCTGTAGAACCAGAACATATATGAACATTGAAATGCATTTATGTATTAGAATGTGAGTATTCTAAACACCAATGGATTTGGCATCGAAACTTTGTACTTCACAATGGTTTCCCTATAACAAACCACGATGCTATTTCGAAATATTTGCCTAAGCAGCCATTTTATGAGTATTGTTAGTGTTAATTTGTTTGCCTCAAAATTTAACTTGTCTCATAGGTCAGAAAGAACAGTTATCATTTACAAGAACGCTTTTCAGGTGTTTGTGACCTGAACATTAAATATTGTCAATTTTTTCTCAAGATCTAGAGCATTCAAATTCTGATTGACCTGCATGATCTCGTGAGCCATCATCTCAAAGGGGTAAAAACGATCTCCTTCAAACTGAAACTTGTGTACAGTCAAGGTCTTCATAATTTGTAATGTTAACGATAATAATGAGAACCTTGTCTCTAAGACAAAGTACACATGTACCCAGTCTTTTCTCTTGTCCTTTTCCCCTCGGAATCCATTTTGTCGAGCTGCCCATCCATGAAATCATCTGCGAAATCCAAACACTGTTTTAGAGCGTCCATCAAAAGAAAACCTGCACCTATATTCAGTTTAGTCTCTTTTTCGAAATTTTTTACCGGAAAAACATGACCACGTGGGAGACCCATAATTTCTCCCACTGTCTTCACGGCTTTAGAAATAGTTGCACTTGCAAACGTGTTTGAGATGTCTTCCTCCACTTCCGGGCATACTTTGTCGAGTTTGGTCATCAGAACAACCTGTGGCAGGTCTATAATGAAAAAAGCCATCAAAATGTCATTTACAACATTCACAATATGTGTTGTTGTTTTGGGTTCTAAGAAAAATTTTACAGTTTGATACGAAATTAAAGATTTTAAAATATTTCCAGAAAATCTCTTATCTCTTTTCCTTTAAAATAAACTTTTATTATCATTCATAAAAGTTCAGAAAAATGGCTGTTTTATTTCAAAACTCAGATTTATAATACTGGTATGATCAGTAAATGACATTATTTTAATCTGTTCCTTACTTCTGAGATTTAATATGACTTGCAGATCTTTTAACTGCTTACGAACTTTTTCAGGCATAACATCGACGGTGCTTCCATCTACCACTATTGCCACGCAATGAATTTTATCCTGTAGATCCGGGTCTTTCATAAATTTAGGGCTATCTGATGTCATTGGAACCATGGGATTGAACTACAAAAGCGATTAACTAAGTACACTTTTGAAATTAGTAGCAGCTAGCCACCATAAGAAATTTGTAATTCTTTTGAAATATTTCAAGATAGTATTTCAAAGTTTGCAAAATAAGTGAAAATTTATTGTTACTTGACATGGTGAATAAAAAGTTTTCTAAATCCAATTCTAGGACATTGACATCCAACAACTGTCATTGACTTTCTACAAAGTCTTGAAATTCTGAAATAGCTTACGTATAAATTTTATACATATCTAATATTTCATTAACAACTGCAACATTAATAATAAATTTTAGACCTTTAATTCGTTACATAATCCTGTTTTAATAAAATTTCATGAAGGTTCTAGGCTTGCAATCTTGAGCATTTAGAATACAAGAATTAAACTATTTTCGTAAATATTCAGTCCAAAGTTTACTTCTGATAACTTGTTAAAATCATGCTGGTAAATTTCAGGGTTATCCTTTTTCACAGCGAGCTTACAAGCCAAAGCACATCTGGCAATCGTTTTTTCATTGTGTGTTGCAAACAATAATCATGTTTTTTTAAAATAAAATGGGTACATTGTACACATTATTTTTTAATTGTGAGTTTTTTGATATATAAAAAAGTAATAAAAACAAAAAATGTCGATTGAGAATATAAAAAATAAATGCAGAAAATTCCTGCATTACCTAATAAATTAGATTGAAAGTAATCAAATGGGCTCATACTTGAGACTATTAATTTGATCAATATCTTTAATCTAGCTTGAAATACACCAAAAAAAACGAGTACATTTAACGTTTGCACTTCATATTCTTGAAATTATCATAGAAATCAATGAAAGCAAACCTGGTACTGATCCGGGATATTCCCGTCCAAGATGAAGGAGATTTCGTGTAAATCAATTTCAAATTCATCCTCAAATCCTCTCGTGTCACACAAGCGAAAGTTAAGGAATTTTCCTGAGGTGAAATCTTTGATTTTGTATTTTCGGAACTAAAATAACAGTCATGATAATCCTTTATATTAAGGTAATAGAAAATGAAATGATTGATGTTCAATTACATTACCATCATGTAATGAATTGCGCGGTAATCACCATATCAAATGCCCATTTCATAAATTTACATGTAAAAGTTAGTGTTGAAAGAGATAGAACCCATCCTTTTTTGCCATTTCTAGTTAGAGCTTTTCTAATTTAAAGTTATACAATCTTTATATTGTTAACATACTGCTGTTGTCACACTGTGTTCAAAGCTCCCACTGGAAGCTTTACTGGTGATTTTCCCCCGAAAAATTGAGTTGACGGAGTTGAAAAAGCTGGATTTTCCCGCGCCAATTTGACCAACCAGAAGAATGTTTGCTGCAGATACGTTCGCCTCCCTCATTGGTTTGTAGTCGACGAGCAATTTCTTCAGTTTGCTATAAGCCTTAAACAAGAGATTTATGCTTAAAAACCTATTGAAATAAGGTTCGTTGCTATTGCAAAATGCTTTGGACTATTATTTTGCTATATTTAGCAGGTTTAGCATCAATTTGCATTTCCTTATCAGCCAGTTACCTGTATCCAATTTCAAAAAAACTAACTGGAAAATCAAATTCCAACTTGTAGTCCTTAAGTTTCCTTGGCATGATCCTTACATAAGAAACCATTGTAATGAAACATTTTTAGTTTTAGGCTGACGTACATTGAGGTTTTCTAAAAGTGTATGGTTTTTTTTTTTTTTTTTTTTTGGTTTTTTTTTTTTTTTTTTTTTTTGGGGGGGGGGTCCAAAATTGTCTCTGAATCTGTCAAAAAATCATTTTTAAAAATCTTGCCAATATCTCTTAGTTTCATTCCTATTTCATACAATAATTATAGTTTATTAATGAAGTTTACTTGACTGTCAATTATTATATTTCAAAACAAAGTAATTTTCACTAGCAACGAGCAAAGCAAGAAAAATATACTAGACTAAGTAATAAATCTACTAGACAAAATAACATTCTTTGCTTGCTTAATGTCAAGGAAATGATCATGATTAATTTAAATGATTTTCGATAATAAATTTTAAATAAGGAAAACATTTTTTAACTTGAAATTGAAAGGAGGGGGCATAAATTTGTCAATTTTGGTAGAAGGTTATCTGCGCAATATAACCATGGACATTGACCTGCCAGAAATACTGCAGAAAAAAAGATTTTCAATAATTTTAATGTAATTTTAACATGCATACATTTGTATATTTAACTTAGTCCCTGTCTGAAGCCTGAAATCTGGACACAGAAGTCATGAAAAAGATAACGATCAGTGATCGATCTCAAAAAAATCTACAAACAATACATGTCTGTGAACAGGGCATAAAACAAGGACTCCCCGAAATTCCAAATGTGGGATCAGATGCCTAGAAAGAGTAAGTATCTCCTATCGACCGGTCACACCCACCGTGAGCCCTAGGTATTGATCAGGTAGACGGAATATTCCCTAGTTAAATTTAGTATAAAAACAAATGATGTCCATTTTAATTGCGCAAACATTTCGTGTGCTTAATATGCATAAGTAAATTAGAGTGTTCCAAGGAACGCTTGTTTTGCCAGCTTTATAGAATCATCAAAGATGCAAATAAATCTAAGAGTGTTGAGTTATTTATTTGGTCCTAATATTATAGTTCATGCATTTGTCTGCAACGATTAAAAAAATCCGCGGATAAAAGACTTCGAAAGATTGGCAGTTATCTTTTAAAATGTGACAAATAAAAATTTAAAAAAAATATGATTCCCCAACCCTCAAATCGAAAATGAATAATAAAATTTAAATTGAAAGAATTATTCTTTATTTTATTCATACGCGTTTATCCCAACCATTGCCAGGATTCTTGACTAGAGAGAGAGATTTCTGTTTGTTTTTACTGTTGTCAGATTACCGATAACTTTATTTGAAGTGCATTCCATTTTAGTATTATTAATACCGATTTATATTCACAGCATTAAATTTCAGAGTCAAGAATTGTGGAGAGGGACCTTAAACAACAAACAAACAAATTTAATTTCAGTTTGTGAGTTAACTTTGTACAGTTTCAAAGTACAGTGTCATCATTTGTTTATAAACTTGTGATATATATGTTATAGTCATACAAACTCTGCCTCTCAATATTCGAAAAGCAAATTCTAAATTAATCGTTCGAAGTGTTTTTGAAAAGGAGGTCAAAGGTCAAGGTCAAGCGGACTTTCACGCTGGTATTTTCCGTATAATACACGTGCACAGACTTACCTCTTAAATGTCAACAATAAGCTTGATATAGGCCCAATGTGAACTGCGTTGAAAAGAAGGTCAAAGATCAGGTTCAAACGTCATGGGTAACCCTGATATTTTACAAAAGCCATAGTATCAACCTATATATGTGCAGAATATTAAATCCATACCTCTTGCAGTTCTCAAGATATAAGGTACGTGTGACAGAAGTTGACGGTCAGACGGACAGACAGACAGACAGACACCGGGTTAAGTGATCCCAAAGTGTCACTCTGCTCTGCAGGCGACACAACATTTTCCAAAGGTGTAAATATTTTTCAATTTATTACTAATTAAACCCTACTATTATGTCTGATCCCAGGAAATAAAAAAAAATAATGTTTTACTTCATCACTCCATTCAGGTGGTTCTCGCCAAGGCTTGTTAGAATTATTCTTTCTATTGGGTCCTTCTACAACAAATACTAAAGATACATAACTCCCATCACTTTAAATCTATTAATATATCTATGCATATTCGAATTTCTTTCCCGTATTTTAGTTGTTGCTTTCAATATTTCCAAATAATATCAAAAATATAAATATATTACAAATATAGTACAAAAGAATAGTAAGTTACAATGTACATGCTAATAGAACTTTCTCCATTATAAGTATAAACGAGGGCAAGCTACAACACGGGCATGCCCATGCCAGCTTTTCAGCAGACGGAAAAAGAGAGATATAGTTATATTTTTTTAATCAATACTTCATCTGTATTGTCTAAATAACTTGCCAATCAATATCAAAGTAAGTAATAAAATTCCCCTAATAAAAGTCTTAACCATAATTAATAAGCTTACCTGACATGCTTTCACTTCCTGGTTCTCGGAAAAAGACTTTTTTTTCTAAAAATGTTAACTATTTCTGAAAAATAGTCTTCTTTCGATATTGCCTTGCATTGTATGGTCTGCCATTTGCAACCTAATTCTAAATTTGATTTTTACTTTATTTTTCATTGAAATTCCGTTAAATGATATACATGTAGTTCGCCTATTCATAGACAGTCATGTGACCGTAGGTCTCTCGTTTTGTATCACGAGTAGACTGGTTATAAAGTTTACATTGAGTGTAATTTTCATTATGAATTCCATTGGAAATCTACAACATTTAATACCCTTTAACACATGCAAAACCTTTTCACTGCGCGATAGAAGACACAGTAAGAACTATATGCAGTTTCAATACTCTAGGGACACCAAATGTACTGTTTTAGTTTAAAAAAAAAACAATTACGCTATTAAATCATTGTTAAAATATACCAATTTTAAGTTTAAAAATAATTTGTCATTTTTCCCCTCGCAATATTTAAATCTCCAACGTTCACAACGGTTCTTACGTTTATTAAGCACACCAGTTCTGAATGGCGCTAAATTCATAATAAAGATAAAAGAAATTGTCAATTAATAAGAAAGAAAATTAGAGAATGCAATTATAAGCATTGAATTCTTATTTTTGATGTCGTCGGTCCTATAACAGCAGCGACAAATTATCATCGCAATCAATTTGTTGGCACGGCCAGGTGCTGTTATAAGACCAACAACATCAAAAAATAAGAATTCAATGTCTTAATATATATAATAAATTATCATGTGAATATGAAACCTGATGCTCCATAAATTCTAAGAATTGAATCACATTTTGTGCATTTTGCTCAGCCCTTTTGATCGCTTTAATCCCACTGACAAAGAGGGGGATAAAAAAAAATTAAAGTTGTGGAACTTTCAAATTTACTTTTTCTTTACTCGAAATTGATCCTGCTCAAATAAAGGAAAATCATTGAAGTTAAAACAGTTTGTTTTCGTCATCTTTTTTTCTTTCATGAGAATCTTGACCTTTTTGCGCATAAAAATAATGAACGTTAACATGAAAATTCAGTTATGCTGAAATGTCATTTTCAAAAAAAATGCATGAACATTATTGCTATATATTCTAGTTTGTATGCCTAGAAAAAAATAGGGTTAGATGTCATTTTTTTTCAGGTTACGGAGGTTATGAATAAATTTTAATGAAAAAACTGAATTCATTTTTCAAGAATTTTTGTGAATGAAAACCTTGTGTATTTTCATTACACATCGAATAGTATATTTTTAAATTCCATAAATTAAGTTAAAGCAAAGTTTTTTTTTCTGTTTTCAAAAAAAGTTGTGCATAACAATAACTTAATTTTAGGATATATTTTAAACAAATTTTAGTCTTCACTGTTTATCTGATGTCTAAAAAAAATAGTTCTGCATAACGACTTCTTCATTTAGAGATGTTTAAAAGCCACTGTAAAATTAAGATAAGCAAACATGTATGTATTTCTTGTTCCCAAGAAAATTCCTTTAAAAGCATCTGATTTTCAGTCTTTTGATAACATTTGTTAGGTTGTATTTGTACAATATCTTATGAATATTAATCACACATTTTGAAAGATATTTATCAAGTCATTTTGGTATCAAAATGTTTGGGAGCACACTTCCTTAAGTGTGTAACTTTTCATTAGGATATTTATATCCTTTATATCATGCATATGTCTTTTTTTCCATTTTCGTTGTATGTCTTATATTATGTTGAATGTAAAATATTTAATCTGATGAGCAATTTCACTTAAAGAATGATTTAAACTAAGTTACGTCTGACTTGGTTTGTTTGGTTTAGTTTGGGTATATAAACCTTTTTCACCATTTGCCATGTGTAGTAAACGATTCACAAATTATGAGGAGAGCCAACACAGATCTCTGTAAAGAGAGGTGGGATCAGGTGCCATGAAGGAGTTAGCATCACCTGCCAACCGATCCTACCCCGCCGTGTGCTCCTTGTCATGATCTTGTAAATGGAAAAAAAACCTAGTAGTGTGAAAATAATGGCCTCACAATTCGCATGAAAACGTCAGTGAACATTCGAAAGACAGATTGTATTTGCAAACAAGGTCATTGTATCAGCCACATGCATTTTTTCTACTTAACGAAATATTCACTTTAAACGAGATTGTTATATTTTATTGGTATACATGTACTAGTATAACTAAATAATGCCTAAACTTCATTCTGCTAGAATAACAAATGCTGCATTACAAAAGCTGGATTTATTCAAACCAATCTAAAGTCTCATTTAATCATAAATACATATAAGCTCGTTCAAATGTACTAATATTCCTTTCTTTTCCCGACTTTCTACTCACTCTTGTGCAAGTGTTGGCCATTTTATATCGATTTTTTCTTGCAATATAGCAACAAATGCTGAAGACGCAAAACTTTAAATCTTTCCTTTGAATGACAAATTATCCTTTATACGCGATGCCCTTCTCGATATGACCTCTCGTTGTTTTATGCTTGACATTTTTTCAGACAAATCTCTCTTTTTAATTAGCAATATACTACCTGTAAATCTGTTAATATTTTTTTTTTACTTTATGTTCGATTTCCAACTTTAGATATGGAGATTCAGGAGTTACTTTAGTAATCATTTTAAATTGTTTTGTCTTTTATTTACATGATATACATGAAAAGAGTAAGGATCAATTTTTCATGTTCGTAAACTATACTTTTTACTTTTTTCTGTAAATATAGACCCAGGTGATTTATTTATTGAAAGATATTGCGTATTTATAAATTTGCGTTTTCTTTCTCTTATTAGACATCAATTGACTTTCTTAAGGAAAAATCCCTTTCAAATTTTGAGTATTATTATCTAATGATCTATTATAGAATGTAAAATTGGGGGGGGGGGGGTTAGCTTATACGTGTATTTCTGAATTATAATTTCATTGATTCCCTGTTTGTAAAAGTCAAGAATTCAAAAGTTTTAAAAGTTCAGTCTCTTGAAGAAAAACCTGTTCTTTGAGAGTATAAACAGGTGAGAGGAATTTGGTTTCAACGCCGTGAAGAACATAAAGTAGTAAGTTGTTATAAAAAAAATCCCTTTAGCTTACATTGTACTTATTATCACAGTATTTTTTTTTTTATTTTAACATTTTGCATAGTCATAACGTCACAGTACCCATTATTGCCAAGTACCCATTCCGATTTACGTTTTTACGATTAAAAATCAATCTGACGGTAGTTTACTTAATTTTTACGCAATATGCGTAAATTATATACCTTTTTTTCAAGTAACCGTGCATCTCACAGAAGGAAAAAGTTGTAAAACATAAATAAACTCACCGGCGACAAGTCCAGCCTTTGAAAACACACAAAATAGAAGTCGTGCGACAGAACATGCCATAGGATTTTCGACTAAATGTCCACTTTCATGACAGGATCAGTCATGCTTTGGTCAAAACGCATTAAATATTTTCCTGTATGCAATGATACTAAACGAAAATATCCAAGATAATGATTCTACTTCACAATATTTCACGAATAGTAAGATGAGTACGAAGCGTCTGCTGTACGACGCCATTTTTATTGTAACCGGGAGCGGATCAAACATCCACCCCGCGCACCTGTTATAATTATTCTTTTAAAGGTTATTTTTATTTGTTGAATTTTGCTATGATCGCTTCCCAATTATGTAGACCATCTCTAATGTAACAAAACAAGATGTATTGTATTTTTTTTAATTTATTTTTTTTTTATTATTTATAAATAGGCCTACGAGAAAACAAATACACAACTCAGTGATGAAAGCTCTGGATGACATGACTAATGAGAAAAAGGGCATATCCAGGATTTGTGCTTGAAAGATCAATATACCCACTTAAAAATTGACTCTGATTTTTTTTTTTTTTTTTTTTTTTTTTTTTTTTTTTTTGAGGGGACAAAAGAACACACAAAATAATTATTTTAAAAAATAGGATTTTTTTTTTGGGGGGGGGGGCACTTTCCTTCAAATGACCCTTTTTCACAACAACCCCAAGTCATTTTACAGCTACTTTTCCTTGAGACAGAAAATCTAGGGGCTGGAGGGTTCAAACCCTCCAGACCCCACTCCATGCCTTAAATGTCAACATAAAATCCCTTCAAATATGAATCACCAGGGTCTACCTTAGCTACTGACACAAACATGAACTTTAAAAGATATCCAAATAGGAAGAAGACATAGGATAAATTGAAAATTTCAGAATTATTGAACTTTTATATAGTTACATTATACTTTTTACATATGCATTAACAAATGTAAGTCTTTATAAATTGTTGATAAAGTAAACTGTAAATTAAATTAAAATGCTTCCATGTAATTAAATTTGTGTATCTTGTGAATTGTGAAACAAGAAACAACAATGTAGGTAGCGGAGCACAACAACAACAACAAAAACAAACAAAAAAAAAACTGGAGAGTTCCTTAGTTAAGCAACATCAAAATATTGTGAACAATTTAAGGGTATTCCATCAATGATTCTCATCAATATCAAAATGTCAAACTTCAAATTCATTAAAAAGATAGTTTCAAAGATCAGTGTAACGTATAAAACAAGTTATGAATAGTAAAACAATTTTAATATTGAAGTAAAGGACAACAAAATTTTGAAATTAGTAATTTGGAAACAAAACTGCATGTAAACAATGCAATTTTAATTTTACAGCCTGCTATTGAATAAGGGGAAAAATACTTTTAATTAAAATCAAAACAAATATGCATTGCCATCATATTGTCTACTTCATATATCATAATACTTTCTAGGGCATAATGGACAACCTTACACAATTCTCTGTGTACGTGACATGGTAAGTTTGACAAAAAAAAAACCAGATTGGAAGGCATAAGAAAAAAATATTTTACAGTTACCCGACCAAATCTAAATTAGATCTGCAATCTATTTTTCTCAGTGAACTTGAAAATGATTTTTTTTATTAAAAAAAAAAAAAAAAAAAAAAAAAAAAAAA